GACCATCAGTGGCATTGATCCACTCGATATGTTTGATGGGATTTCAGGAGGGGCTTTCCACATGTTCATGGGACAGATTATTTCTTTTTCTTTTGTTTTTTTTACTGCTCTGGTTTGAAGGTAAACTTGTATGTTTTACGCTTGTTTTTATCAAATTTGTTTATTATAAAATGTTTGGATTCAACTTTTTGTTCTTTAGAAAGGAACAGAGATATCTAGAAGAAGCTCAATTCAAACACGTTTTTTGTGATGTTTCTTTAATCTTTCTTCATAGAGCTGTGTGGTTTTGCTTTCCTCTGTTTATGGTTTATATGTCGTCACAAACACTGGAAAGAAAAACTATGAGAGGAAGTTGGGAGTGATGTGTTGAAACATCAGCTTCTGTTTTTTAAAGGTTAATCCTTCCATTCGATGTTCCCCTCAGTCTAAAAACCTCATTAACTCATGCTTTTTGGAACCAGAGATCGGACTGTATTTGTTGGTTTATAAAGAAAAGGAAATGCTGTTTTAATTAAGTAAAGATAATTAGACTAATAATAGACTCATTATTTTAAAAAATAATATTTATAATAATAATAATAGACTGTTCAAACTGTCAGTCTAAATTTTGTCCTTTTTGTAAATATGGAGATTGTATTTCTGTTTTCATATTGTTTTTAGGTGTGTTTGTATTCTTCTTCATCACATGCTTGCCCGGGCTAATAAACATTAAATCTGTGACTGAAATGGAGATTTTACAAACAGAGCACAAAATTCTGCTGTAAGGAAGATTTTAAGTTAGCATCTGATTTAAACGGACTCTGAATTTTAATTAAATAAAAAAAATCTCTTGAAACACACCAAATAAGTCCAATTCTTGTTTAACACTCTGCTCTTATACACGCTTTAAACCACACATTCACTCACACTTACTGGTCACTTCATTAGGTACACCTTAATAATACTGGGTTAAATACTTTTTTGTCCTCAGAGCTGCTTTAATTCTACATGGAATAGATTCAATAAGGTGCTGCAAATATTCTTTTGAGATTCTGGTCCATATTTACATTTAGCATCACACTGTCCATGGCATGTCTCTCTCGTTCTGCTACATCCCAGAATTGCTCTATTAGATTGCAACTTGGTGACTGTGGAGGCCATTCATGTACAGTAAACTTATCGTCATGTACAAGAAACCAGCTTGCAATGTGTTGAGCTTTATGACATAGTGCATAAGTCTGCTGGAACCAGCCATTTAAAAATGGGTACACTGTTAACAAAGGGTGGACATGGTTAGCAACAATACTCAGGGAGCCTATGGTGTCTAAACAATACTTTGTGACAAGGAGCCTGAGGTTCATCAGGAAAATTATACCCCATCACCAGCCCGAACTGTAGACAGACAGGATGATCCATACTTTGATGTTGTTTACTCTAAATTCTGATCCTACCATCTGAATGTTACAGCACAAATCAAGACTTGTCAGAGCAGAAAACATTTTTCCAATCTTCTGCTGTGTAGTTTGGTAAAGCAGTGTGGTAAAATCCAAGCAGATCAGCATTTTCTAAAATATTCAGAGTCAGACTGGCTATAACCCCCTACTACGTTGAAAGTAGCTTAAACCATCTTTCTTCACCATTCTGAATCTCACATTGAACTTAAACACAAAATAACGGTAAATCCGATAAAAGTTCAAAATATAAAAGTACTAAATGTAAAACAATTAAAGAAGCTTTATAAAGTCAATTAAGTACATTCAAAGAAATAATAATAATAGTAATACAATTTGACATCAACGGTACACGTCAGCAGCTGTCCAATGGGAAATGGCATTACTCATCGTCACGAATCTGTCGTCCAATCAGAGGCGTTGATGTTGAGCAGAGTTTAGCGGGTACATTTTCGATCTCGATTCGATAGCACAGCTAAGTGAAGGGGCATTGTTTTGATGAAGAAGATCCAGTCTGATAAAAACGAACGAGATTAGAGGTTATCTCGGGTTTGTTTACCCGGTTCACGAGGCGATGAGAGCGTAACTCGACTTTTTTTCTGGCAGGTTATTTTTTTACTTAGAAAAGTCCGAATGCTAACTAGCCTCCAGAGCTAACGTCAGCTAAGTAACTGGAGTGTTGTGATGTCCTGCGGCGGTGCAACGTTTTCTTGTTTCGTTGTCAACTCCAGCGGCTCGTAAGGAACAGGTCGGTGTGTATCCTACTGTCGCATTATTACGGTGTGTGTGGGTGTGCTTTATTTAACCTTTTGTCTTAAGTTTTCCACCTGTAATGTGCTGTCTGTGTCATCGTGATTAGTTTCACTTTCATGGTTTGGAAACTGCTATCCCCTGTTTGTTTTCCTATTTTCCGAGTAAACACAGCGGAACGATAACACTGATCAGCCGGCTTCTGTAGCCCTAAATGAAGCATCAAATTCACAAACTCTCGATGCTTCTGTGTTAATGCTGTAATATGGACGCAGGAGTCTGCCTTCCAGTTATTGAAGTTTAACTGATGATAGAAAATGGTGGCATGTAAATCACAGGTTCACACATCCTCAGGTGAATTGTCTAGGCAACGGGACATTGTTGAAAGCAGTCAACTGACATGACTTTGGAGACTTCTAAAACTTCTGAGGGCCACGGAAGGTATTTTAGTAGTCATTCCAGAAATCCATTACCCAGCTTGGGAATTTGAGTGATCATGCCCCTGTTTTAGGAAGCTATTTTCTCAGATTAAACTGTTTTTTTTTTTTAAATCTGGAGATGAGGGATCCTCAGTCAGAGCTGATTTAAACAGACTCCATGAACCTAACCAGGGGCCTCCTCTATGAAGCAGGATTTGGGGCATAGTCAGGGGACTTCAGGTCAACCCCAGTTTTTAAACCTTCCAAAGGTGCTTCATCTATTATCAGGTAACTATGCTGATCCACAGTAGGTTGTGTTAAAGAAGAGTAGCATACATGTATAAAACCAGTACCCACTGACCAATCAAACCGACCATCATTCTGATGCCCTGGTGAGCATCAGTAAAAAATAAGGATTTTTATACTCACCTTTATCCTGCTTTTTCCATTTTCACTGCAAGCAATGTTTAAATTATTTCATTCCTTTATACGTGGGTGCAGCTGAAACTGTCTCACACACATCTGCACACTATAGTGTTTATTTTACAAACTAAAAAATTGTAATTATACTTCAGATCCTCCTGTGTCTTTATGGTGGAGCTGTGAAAGTGACAGCTTTGTCAATGCGCACAAATGCATGTGTTCAGCTTTCATTCCTGACTTTAAATTGACTTTTTTGATATTGGAGGACTTATCCACACATTAATGTAGCACTTTTGAAACATTTCCTCGTACAGACACACAGTAATTTCATCTGTGGCAGCTGTGGTGCTTTCAGCCTTACTGTGTGTTACTCTTCATTTTGTGTTCTGACATCATAGTTTGTAAAGGTAGCCACTCTGCAGTCATTAGACTTGTCTATGTTTCAGATCTTTCATGTGAATATGACCTGAAACTGGTTCTCTTTGAAACCAGATAAAAATATCCTGGGTTTGTTGAACTCTGTTCACAGAGCAGGTCCCTGCTTTGGTATTTAAATAATCAGAAGTGCCCACATGGCCAGAATTTGTCACTTTTTTTTGTGCCAATGTAAATATCATACAGATCTTGAAAACACTGAAGTTCTGATGCTTGTGTGTCATCCTGTTCTGGTCTCATTCTGCCTGTTTGTATTTTAGAAAGCCGGCGTTTTGAATGGCGGTGGCTCCTGCCTCGATGGCAGATAAAATCATTGTGCTTGATGAGGAAGGCGAAGAAGAAGAGAGTCCTCAGCCCTCCTCCTCTGCCTCCAAATCAAGGCCTGACCTTCAAGCCAAAAATGTCTCGCCGCTCAAAGCTCAGCTGCCAGTGCCCACACACATTACCCAGTCACCCTTCGCTACAGCGAAGAAGACCACGAAGTGTCTGCAGGCAGAGAATCAGAAGTTGTTCAATGAGGTGAGTTTATATGATGTTCCAAAGTTCATGACCAGAACTTAAAATAATGACATTTATGCAGAAGTATTTCATGTGTATCAGACTTCAGATTGCTCTAAGTGCTCAGTTTTTCTGTCTGGGTGACATTGACTTAAAATCTTATCTGTGTGTTTTTAGGCTAATTGTTGAAACGTGATATATTTAAATGTTGACTTTTAAATCAAATTAACAAGTGAGATGATCCATGTTTCCCAAATAATACTGTGGGAAACTCAGTGGTGTCATCAGTTAGTTCCTCATTGAGCAGATCAACTCCACTCTTCTAGACTGCAGCTGGTGGTCTTTACCACACTGGGGGCCTGACCAGCCTGCCTGCAGGGGAAACACAGGAAGGTCCACAGTTCGCTGGTCAGCAGTGACTCAGCTTTCAGAATAAGAGGGGATTGTATGGTGGTTAACCTGTTATATGTTGTCTCATAGTGATTCAGTAAATGCAAATTCCTGAGTACAGTCTAGTTTTGCAGAACATCGTTCCATGGAGTTTAT